ATAAAGTAACTGTCAGTTTCTAAATGCCTTGAAATTGGCCTCTGTCTCTTTAAGAACTTCCTTCCTATTCTGTCCCGCCCATTTTAGCATGGGGCCGGGTGGGTGTGTGCTCAATGATGAGGAAGCTCAGCTTGGAGACACAGCCCAGAGGAGGAGATGATCCTAAAAGGAGGTTCTAGTCCCAACCGGTCGTTTGTCCCAACCGGTTGTTTTTGCTCTCCTGCCTGGCTGCCTCAGGACACTACAAGTTTTTTCAAACATGCATGAATGAGTCAAAGCAACACTCTGGACATGTTTTTGATGAGAGGATAACATTATAACGTGATATAAAACTCAAAAAAGTTAATTTTACATGATATTGCCACTTTAAGATTTGACCAACATGGCTTTAACTCCATCATTTCTCACCAGAAGATGATCATGGTCTATAACTCTGGCTTGAAAGGTGACAGGTGAAATGCATTTTATCAACAAAGGCTAGATCTTAAAATAATTTTAGTCATTAAAAGTACTGTGAGGAATTTTTCCCATGAAGCTGGGATTTCAGACCAAAATTGTCAGAGACAAATCACAAGCCGTTTTTAGATGTTTGCTTTACAGTTGAATGTTTTATTTCAGATAACTTAAACTCTTTGCTGTAACTGCCTGAGGCTTCCACAAGTTATTCTGTTTGCTCTTTAGATCAAAGCACAACTGCACTAAAAGCTTCAGAATGACAAAACAGCCAAACCCACACATCATGTTTAAATTAGAAGATTTTAAAAGTGTGGATCCCTAAAGATACAGTATTCTAAACACTGGAAACACATCAGGAACGACTGAAGTAGAGGATGAGAGAAGCAGACTTTTCCAGGTAGAGTCTATTGTCCTGTGGGCAGAGACGGCCCAAATCGTAGTTGGCCGAGGTCTTACTGTGGGCGGAGATTTCCCTGCTCGTGATTGGCGGAGGTCTTGTTGTGGGCGGAGATGTCCCTGCTCGTGATTGGCGGAGGTCTTGATGTGGGCGGAG